CCCATCTCCTACCTACTAACCTCATCCCGCCCCCTTGACCTGTCCATCCTCTCCGGACTGACCTATCTCCTACCTACCTCCCCACCTACACTCACCTTTACTGGCTCCATCCCCGCCTCTTTGACCGGTCTGTCTCCTCTCCACCTTATTTTCTCCTCTATCCATCTTCTATCCGCCTCCCCCTCTCTCCCTATTTAGTTCAGAACCCCCTTCCCCTCCCCCATTTCTGAAGAAGGGTCTAGGCCCGAAACGTCAGCCTTCCTGCTCCTTGATGCTGCTTGGCCTGCTGTGTTCATCCAGCTCTACACCTTGTTATCTCTTTTTCAAAATTGTTTCCGTGTGAGAAGCCTTCCAAATGTTGATATTGTGGGAAGTGTATTCCCCAAATGACATAAGACTGGACTGACTTCTCACTAGAAAACTGGGCGATCGTTGTAAAAGAGATAGTAAGAACTGCAGATGCTGGAGTCTGAGATAACACAGTGTGGAGCTGGATGAACACAGCAGGCCGGGCAACATCAGAGGAGCAGGAAAGCCAACGTTTCAGGTCGGGACCGTTCTTTAGAAAAAATCTGAAGTGTCCCGACCCCTCTCCTGCTCCTCTGATGCTGCCTGGCCTGCTGTGTTTCTCCAGCTCCACACCTTGTTTTCTCAGTCATTGTAGAAGCTGTGTGTTCTGCAGGGAAATGAATATTGTGTTGTAAATTGAGGAATAGAACAAGTTAAAAATGTAGTGATCAGATGGTCAATTAGGAGGTCTTGTGATTCCCCAAATCGTGCATTCCAGGAACTCCTGCTTTGGATATTTGTTCACTCTATTTTTGTTTTGCTGAATATTTGTCAGGTTCTGAAAGATTTCGTCGACAGAGTGGAGAAGCTTCGCGATGAGACAGGCAAGATCAATGATTTATACCAGGAACTGAACAAATGGTCCTTTGAAAGTAAGCTCTTGTTTCGACACTAAACACATTGAAAATAAGCGCACAGTTAATAGGGCTGTAAATTCCATTTTGCGGTTTTGTTCACCAGTATTGGAATAAAATCCACTTCAAACATTAGAGTAATTCGGTTAAGATTATTTAAGCACTTCAACTCATTTTTGTAGGAATATATCTGAAAATATGCATTTCAGTAAATTAAAACACCAACAATATTTACAATGAAATGGACACAAAAGTTATTTGCTCATTTACTTTGTAAGTTTACACACAATGCTGTTTTAGACATGTCAGTAAGGGGTTAAAAAGTTTTATTAGTTAAAAGTTTTCTTACTCGTAATGAAAGTGGTGAAAGAGATATGTGCTCTGATTGTTGACCTCTAATCTCCAGTTCTAACCTATCATCCAATGACAGCCAAGTGATAAGGAGGAGATGCACACACAGCATATTTGTGAACGTTTGAATACATTTCTAGCCACAAGAGACGAAGAAGAAAACAATTGAAGTAGAGACCCCACTCTCCATTTGATAATTCCATCCCTCCCTCCCCAAACATTAAGCTGCCTGTTTCATTCTGGATGCCCCTGAAGACAGGATCTCCCAAACACTACATGTACCATTCTGTATCAAAATAATAGAACTTTTGTGACATGAATGACAGAAATGGAAGAGAAAGATCATTGTTATCAACTCTTCCAACTTGCCCTCACTCTGGTTGCCAAAACTCTTTGGGGGAAACTTTTGACCTCTGTCCCGCACTCCATCCCAGGGATCTGAGAAAGTACATTTAAAAGAAGACAAGTACCCATGTGGCATTGCATTTTTCCACTCTTCAGATATGGTGTGTTTATCATAGAATCCCTGCAGTGTGGAAACAGGCCATTTGGCCCAACAAGTCCACATCACCCCTCTGAAGAGCATCTCACCCAAACCCATTTCCTCTACCCCTGTGTTTCCCATGTCTAACCCAAATATCCCTGGGTATTATGGGCAATTTAGCATGGCCAATCCACCTACCCTGCACATCTTTGGGAGGAAACCAGAGCACCCAGAGGAAACCCGCACAGACACAGGGAGAACAGACAGTCACCCGAGGGTGGAATTGAACCCAGGTCCCTGGTGCTGTGAGGCAGCAGGGCTAACCACTGAGCCACCAGGCCGCCCTGTTTGTAAAGCCTCTGTCATAAATTGGAATCAATATATGCTTGAATTAAATATTTGTTTTCAAATTACTGTTTTTAGTTATTTAATAAAGCATACAGATACAGAAGGTATAAAAGGAAGAATGACATTTAATATATTATATATGTTTTGTAATTTATTTGGCAATTGCATTATGTGCTTATCATTAACTTTCTAATTATAGCAATTTGCTTGGTGTTGTATGATAAAAGATTTGGTCTTCTGGAACAAAATGTCATTGAAGAATCTTTGAACTTCATTCAGGCAGTTAAAATTGTAAGTACACAGCAATAAATGAATTGAGGATGAATGATTAATTAGTCCTTTGGGATATCATTTTTTTCTGCAGCCTTTTAAGGAATTATATAAATGTATAAAGTATTAAAATTACTGAATTAATATCTAATTAAAATAACATTTTAAAACAAGTGGAACTTTCTGCAGCATCCCTGTATATTTGTTGGATAAAAGTTTGCTATCAATTACAATGATAAAATGGAAAAAATGACAAAAGACTAAGCAAACAAAAGGTTCAGAGTTCTACTGAAAGGCCCACATGTGAAACATTTACTTTTATTTCTTCTTATAGAACCTTATAGAATGTTATGAATTGCTCATGCTCTGTGTTTTATTCTGAATTTTAAGATGCAATGAAACAATCAAGATTTATGTGCATCCCTAAAATAAGTGGGATTTCAAAATGATTTTATATGAATAAAACTGTTGGCTGTGACATCTAACATAATAAAGCATCTAACTAAATTGTTTACTTGATCTTTCTTACTGGAAGAAGCATATTTTGCAGAATTTTGACACAGATAAACTACATATTTTAAAAAAACAGGAATTTTAAACTTAAAACACATGCTGGAATACGACTCAATGAAGAGAAGCTAATTTCATTCTTCAGAATGCATTCATCTTCTCCCTGTATATAATATGCAAATAACCAGCCTTCTTCTATGTCTCAGATGATGAATACATTTGGTAAAATGATGGTGACTCCAGTTGGGCTCCATAAGTGTTTAAACACGAAGACATGGAAGGACCACACGGAAGCTTGGGATAATATATTCAAAACAGGTACATGCCTGATGAAAGTGCGTATTAGTATTATAAATTACAAAAAAAATCATTTAAACAAAATATACTGAAAAGCTATTATTTTAATCTTAGGGATGATAAAAACCTTTGAATAGCTATGAATACCTAGAATGTCAAATTTTAGTGCATTCTTGTGGGAACTTTTGTCTTTCAGGCTGTTTCAAATTTGATTTCTTAATATTCTGAAGAAAAGGAGATGATGATAACACTTCTGCTGTCAAACTGCATTTCATATCTTAGTACAGATTGATGGGATGGAAATATCTTTCTCTGTTGTTCTTGGGCATTGTCTTGCTTTTATTGATGATTTTACTGAGCATGGAAGTGGAAGGTTCATATTTTGCATGTAGGAAAAGTTTTTTCTACCTGAAAATAGGCTTTTTTTCCCTTCGCTGATTCACATTTAACAAACTGGTAATGAAACAATAGTTTTTTTGAACTTGTTGTTCTGTATTTCTTACAGTATGATTTGCTAATAGTTTAATATCTGTTGCAGCATGTAGAAAGCTGATGCTTTTGTCAAAGCAGTTATCTGAGAGCAGCACGTTTTATTTATCCATTATTCCACTCTGATTAGACTGTTTTGAAGCTCCACCCAAAATAAACTAGAAACCTGTAAGACATAATTCTATAGTATATGCAATGAAAAGGATTGCTTTGTTTTGGAAGTACATTACCTCATAACATCATCATTCAGTTGTTTCCCAATTTTCCCAATGTAAATAGCTACACCAATTGCAAGGTGATAAATCAAAAATGACTTTTGTAGCTTTTCAGTTCTTTCTGTGTATAATCTGCAGCACAAAACTACAGTTGGTTCTGCTATAACGTGATAGTTGCGTTCCTGTACAACATCGCATTATAGAAAATCGCACTGTAGAAATAATGGGGCCTGTGGGAAAAGTGAGGTTAGGGGCAGACCACCAAAAAAATTGCTCAAAATTCACTCAAAAGCCTAACACAAAACATAGCACAGTTAGAATAAATGTCTAATTCATATCTAATAATGAAATAAAAGTAAATTTAACACTTACCTTGAAGAAATGTCAAGATGACTTGACGGTGGAGGAGGTTTTGAGGTTGATCTGTTGATCATGTCATGCTGGCATGGAGACTGTTTTGGCGCTAACACTGAGCATGCTCAGGACAAAGCCTGCAAAACAATCATGTGATGTCAGCACATACTCCTCCGCGCACCAATGATACTGTGTTATCGCCAACACAAGTTCGCATTTTAGAAATAGAGTTTTCTATTCATCAGCCGTGTTATAGCCAATTTGTGTTGCCGGAACACACGTTTAGCAGAACCGACTGTACCACACAGGTGGTTTTTAATATGCTCACTTTAAAAACCCATCAGGATGGTCGATGCCAGAAGTGGAAATAAAAGTAATGGAGCTGCTGAAAACTTTTCTGCATTTGGGCTGAAAAGATATCACAATCCTTAAAGCAAGTCCACTGTGATTGGGAATTCCAGTTAGATTACACAAATTAATTTCGCATGTGGAATCTGTTCAGCTAATAGAGGGACCTCTATTCAATCAACAGAGTTGGATTTGAAGTTTTCAAACATTGTTCAATCATGTGCAAATTACTATGTGACTGGTTCCTAAAGAACATAAAGCTTAAACAAAAATTACAAAGACTACTATAACACTGAATGGAGTCTTTTGGCCCATCGAGTGATCAAATATTCTGCTGAGTTGGCCAAGTATAACCTACACTTTCAAAATTTCAGCTGACCAGCCACAATTAGTTCAAGTTTCACTATGTGCATCATAATGCATTTTTGTAATGTAGACTATTTTTTAAAAGCTGAAAAGTAAGAGTCACTGACCCACAATTTTCTGTTTTTATTTCTGTCTCTCTTCAATGAAGCAAAAGTTTTGTTACTATCAAATAGTTAATGATATTTAGAAGTCATTACAGTTAGAAAACATCAGATGTTGCCAAAGAATCAATTAGTGTCTAATTTAATAACTATTTTACTCAAATATTTTTTAAAAAATTATAGGTATTCATTTATTCAGTCTATAAAGAAGAGATTTAAAGCCACTTTTTTTGGATCATGTGATTGATTGCTGAACCTATGCCATTTCACTGGAATGGCATGCTCTCAGATCAGTCATCCAACTGGTAAACTGAATGACCTGGATAGGTATTGGAGCCAAGTGTTTATAACAGTCTAGGGTTAACATGAGACATTGACTGAGGTCGCTGAACTGACAGCGATGTGTAACTCGAGTTGCGCACATAGCTTATTCATTCGAGGCACTATTGACAGACACACCCACTTTCCTATGTCGTGAGTGAAAATAGCTGAAGTAGATTAGCAAAGATAAAGCACTTTCAGCATGACTTATGGGCACTGTAATAGATATTAACACATCAAAGAATATTTATTTTGCTTTCTAACCGATCAACCTGTAGTCATCAAGTTCTTTGCAAATATTTCTTTTGCTTATGTTCTGTCAAAGTAATATGACAAACATTTTATTTTTAAGGTAGACAAACAGGAGGCTGGAAGAAGACAACAGGCTGGGCAGCATCTGGAGGAAAGGAGTAGTCAACGTTTCGGGTATTATCCTTCTTCAGGACTGAAGATTACTCCTTTCCTCCAGATGCTGCCTGGCCTGCTGTGTTCTTCCAGCCTCCTGTTTGCCTAGCTTGGATTCCAGCATCTGCAGTTTTTTGTCTCTAATTTTATCTTTTTTAACCTTATTTACTGAAAGAGCCAATTTGTTAACGGTTTAGTAGTACTTGTTTCAAACTCAAAAACAAACAAGTTATAAACAGCAGTTTCCAAAAAGCTAACATAGCACCTGATAAAGCTGATACCTCATGAATGACCCTCATTATTGCTTATTGTACGTAAAAAAACTATTGATTTCACCACCTTTGAAGCAAATCACTGAAATGCACAACATTCCTTCACTTGTGTGCAAGGAATCAAACATTGTGATGAAATTAAAGGAAAAATTACAATGAAATTAAAATGCTAAAGGCACTGAATTAAAATGAATTTTGGAATTTAAAAGGAAGCATGGGCAGAAATTTTTGAGGGGTGGGAGTCAGACCTCAATGTTGGATGCTGCCAGGACTGTATGTAGGCCTATGAAAAGACCCAATGGATCTGAGATCCACTTACATTTCAGGGACTTTGTGGAGACTGGATCCAATATGGCTATGTATAATTAGATAGAAGTTACAGCACAGAAACAAGACTTTTGGCTCAACAGGTCTATGTGGTGCTAACAGTCCATCTAAGCCTTATCATAATTTAATTAATTTAACTCTATCAACCCAAGCTTTGCTTCCTTCTCGCCCCTCATTAATTTGACTAGCTTCACTCCAAAATGCTACTTTGGAGTTCCATTCATTGTAACTACTTCACAAATTATCAGGTTCTGCTTTCTAACCATACTTCTAAAAAGTTTTTCTTGAATTCCTTATTTGATTTATTGTTGACTATCCTACTTTTATGGTCCTTAGTTCTGAACGCTCCCACAGCTATATCAAACAAAACTTATTTTTTTCAAGGTAATTATTACTTGTTCGAGTAATTGTTTACCAAACAGAATTGTTTGAGTAAGATGGTTCAGATGATCTCCTGTTTGTCATCTCAAGTAGATGTTAAACATTTAGCAGGTCAGAAGGGCAAAAAAGCAATAAACAAGACCAAATAAAAACAGTCTTTATGTCACTCACACAAATCGTCTGAATCCAAATGAATTGTTCAAGAATTCAGATTCTTGTAACTCAGTTCTAACCAAAAATACATTTTATAAAATTAACAGTCTGCTTTTTAAGACCATTAAGCAATGCCATTCCATGCAATTATATTAGTTATTTATTCAACATATCTCATAGAAATTATTAAACAACAGCATCTGTCTTTTATCTTTGTCAAGTCGTAATCAGGCGTAGATAAATGTATTTGAATAAGTCCATTTTAAAAATTGACCTTACTAAGAAAATATCTGAACTGAAAAGAAAAGAGTTTAGGTTCTCCAAAGGATAATTTCATGAAGAATTTGATACTTCCACAAAATATTTCAAACTCATGACTGAAGCTAACTACAAACAGCTTTAATGCTTGGAGATTGATACAGTGATTTGAATTTGTATATTTTGCTCAGCTGTTTTCTTCCTTGTGTATTTGTCATTTTAATTTTTCTTGTGTGTAATTTTTTTTAGCAAAGTGCCACATTGATGGAAGATTGAACAGACATTCAGCCTGTCCAGCCAATGACTTCCTCTCAGAAATCTACAATGGCAGTGAACTATCGAGAAAAGAATTGTATGCAGCTGTCACAGAGCTCCAGATTGGAGGAGTAGAAACGGTAATATTCTAACAGAAGTCCACATGCGGTAGTTGAAAAGATGCAGCTCAGAGCTGCACTAAGAGAATGCACTTGGTTACAATCTTAATTATTAAGCATCAACTTACCTCACGTGACAACACTTTCACCTTAGAGTCAGAATATTCTGAGTTCTGAACAAGAGTCATACTGGACAGCAAATGTGAACCTTGTCTGTGCATTGATGCCGCCAGACCTTCTGAGTTTCTCTTTTCAGTTTTGATTCCCTGATTTCACACTCTTTCCCAAGATTTGAACAGATTAAGTCAGCTGAAAATTTGATGCTAAGTGAAGGATACCTTGTTAAAGGTGATGGGCAGTTATTGTGCACATTGGGCTAACAGTGGGGGTAGGTCAGTCACACATTGTCTATCTAATATACCCAGTGATACCATGGTCAGGTTTCATTAGAAAAAAGACTCAGTTAGATGGCAATGCTAGATGAGAATTGTAGCCCTCTGCATTTGTGTGGGGAGTCGGACAAAGGAAAATCCAACAACTTCTCCAAGGAGCTGACCGGGTCTCAGGTGGAGAATGAGCAAGCTCTGGGAGGAGCAGATTACATGGAAGGACCAGTAATTGTTGTTTTTTGAGGAGGAGCATTTCTGTCCCACAGGAATTGCTTAGAAAAACAGTTCCAGAGTGACCTCTAATTGTCCGTTTAATGTCTAATGGTTAGGACTCTGAAAGCTGAATTCCATTCAGCTGAGGTACAGAGCCCAGTCCACGAAAAGATGAGCATAAGCACATTGTTGAGGTTCCAGCCTGTTTGGAAAAGGCCACTAGCCACCTATGAACATAAAAATGAGTTTGGAGCGAGAGTAGGCCATTTGGCCCCTTGGACCTTCTATCTGGTTTAACTTAATCTCCATATTCCCACTGACACCAAACCATCACCTCCTGGTCGTCAAGAATCTATCCTTTGCCTTAAAAATCTTGTAAGATTCTACTTGCATTAACTTTTGAGGAAGACAGTTCCAAAAGAATTCTGAATTCTTTTGCTTCATCTCTCTTAAATGGACAACTCCTTATTTTTGAACTAGGATCACCAGTTCTTGATGTTCCTTTGAGAGCAAACATCGTCTCCATATCCCACCTGTCATGAACCCTCAGGATTTTGTATGTTTGAATCAAGTCATCTCTTGACTAAAAATCTAGCTTGTCCAAACTTTCCTCCTAAGACAACTTGCCTATTTCAGATATTAGTCTGGTAAATCTTCTCTGAACAACTTCAAAAGCATTCACAACCTTCTTTAAATAAGATGACAAATACTAGACACAGTATTCCAGTTGTGCTCACACCAGTGTCCTGTATAACAGAAGCAAAACCTCCCTGTTTTTGTATTGAATTTTCCTCACAATAAACAATAACATTCTATTAGCTTTCCTAATTACTCACTGAATCTGTATTGTAGCCATTTGCAATATATGTAGGACATCTAGATTCCTCTGGCGCTCTGCAATTTCTCATCATTTGAATAATATGCTTCATTTTTATCTGTCCTTCTAAAATAGCCAATTTTCCCATTTTACCCATTTTGTCAAATCTTTGGCCATTCACTTAACCTATCTTTATAACTTTCTAGCTTTCTTATGTCCACTTCACAACTTTCTTTCCTACCTAGCTTTGGTTAATCTGCAAATTTAACAACTGTACCTTTGTTATCTTCAGCCAAAAATAATTTATAAAAATTGATAAGAGTTGTGACCCCAGCGCTGACCCCTTTGGCACACTACTGTTACATCTTTGCAATGAGAAAACGATCCATATGTGCCCACTGTATTTCCTGTTAGCTAGCTAACCTTGTATCCAAGCCAATATATTAATCCTTCACATACAGGGAAACACTGCTCTAGTGGTGATGGCATTGCATTAATAATCCAATGGCAAGGCTAATGCATTAGGACATGGGTCCAAACCGCAAGCATGGCATCTGGTGAAATTGAAATTTGATTTCAGGATGTGATGAGTGGGAACCTGCAGGGGTATATGGTGGGCTTTCAACATTTTAGAGTTTATATCAAACACTTACCTGAGTGGATTGAAGGCTTGGACACTAAACAACACAATGTATGGCGTGTTGTTCATGAGATTACATAACAAGGACCAGACAGATATAGATAGGTTAAGTGAGTGGGCAAAAAACTTACAGGTGGAGTATGAAGTGTTAAATTGTTCACTTTGGCAGGAAGAACAAAAGCAGTATTATTCCAATAGAGAGCAACTGCATAATTCTGAGGTGCAGAGGGATCTAGCTGCTCAAGTGCATGAGATACAAAAAGATACTATGCAGGTTCAGCAAGTGAATAAGAATACTAATAGAAAGCTATCATTTATTACTAGATAAATTATACATGAACAAAAGGATGTTATGGTTGAGTTACACATGGCATTAATAAGACAACACCTCGAATACTGTGTGCAGTTTTGGTCTCCTTATTTAAGGAGGATGTAATTGTGTTGAAGGGAATTCAGAGGAGCTTTACTATGCAGATATCTAGAATGACTGGGCTGTTTTATGAGGGAAGATTGGACAGGTTGGACTATTTTTTAAAGGAGTTTCAAAAAGTAAGGGATGGTTTGATTGAATTTCATCAGGTCTTGAGGGGTCTTGGGTAGTGGATGTGGGAGTTTACTCTTGTAGGTGAATCCAGAACTATGGACACTGTTGTGAAACTGGGGCATCACCCTTTTAGGACAAAAATGGGTCAAAAAAAATCTTTCAGTTGGAACTCTCCAGGTCTGAATGGTTGTAACCATTCTCCCTGTGTCTGCGTGGGTTTCCCCCGGGTGTTCCGTTTTCCTGCCACAGTCAAAGGATGTGCAGGCTAGGTGGATTTGCCATGCTAAATTGCTCGTAGTGTTCGGGGATGTGTAGATTAGGTGGGTAATAGGGAGGTGGGCCTGGGGTGGGATGCTCAGAGAGCCAGTGTGGACTTGTTGAGCCGAAGGGCCTGTTTCCACAATGTAAGGATTCTATGATTCTATGAAAAATTAAATACTTCTAAGGTGGAGGTAGGTAGACTTTTGTTAGGCCAGGGAATCAAAGGTTGCTGGGGACAGATGAAATGTGGAATGTTGAACAGAAACGGATCAACCATAATCTTAGTGAATGAAAAGATTTGATGAGATAAATGATTTACTTCTGCTCCTAATTCATATTCCCACACGTTTGTATTTTCCACAATAATCTTTGATGTTGCATGTTAATAAATGCCTTCTGGAAATCTAAGTACAGTATGTCCACCTTTTATCCACAGCATGTGTTATTTCTTCAAGGAATGCCAATAAATGGTTGAACATGATTTCCCTTTCCCAAAGCCATAATAATGTTTTGAAGAATAGCCTTAAGCATTTTCCCTACAACAGATGTTAAAATAACTGCCTGCAGTTTCCTACTTTCTCCTTACCTTTTAGAATAAAGGAATTATATTTGCTATCATCCAATTTTCTGAAACATTTCCTGCGAATAGGGAATGTTGGAAAATTAAAACCATTGTATCTCACCAATCACTTCTTTTAAGACCTAAGGATGAATTCCATCAGTACCCAGGGACTTGTCAGCCCCAACAATTTGTGTAATACCACTTCCATGGTATTGTAATTTTCCTGAGTTCCTGCCTACATTCTATTTCCTTATTTACAGATACATCTGGGGTGTATCTTCCATTATAAAAATGCTAATGCAACATATCTGTTCAATTCATCTGCCATTTCCTTATATTTCATTACTAATTGACAGAGTCACTTTTCCATCCATGTTGAGATCTCCTCAAAAATTGAATTGGGTGAGCCTTAGATGTAATTGAAGATTTTTAAAAGAAATTTTGCCTTGTAACTACCTCATTCACCATGAAAATTAGGAGTCTTCAGTCTTGTCTTTTGCATCCAGATGCTGGACACCTCAAGCATTGAGGATGGGAGATCCATGGAGCTTTCTCCTCTTGTTCGTTGTGAAATTGTCCTATTAATCATGACTATATCACGGGGTGCCCAACAATTTCAAACATAGTGGCTTGTCACCCACAATTATAGCATTCTTGTTTGCTACTGCCTAGGACTTCCCTGCTGTGGGACCCTACCTCTTGCTGTGGGACGGGTATATGGGGACGGATAACTTCTGGAGTAACCTCCCCTATTTCTGTCACTACCTTCATTCCATCACACAGGACCTGGGTGTTGGCCTACTGGTTTGGAGTATGGAGGGTTTGATGCTACATTTCCCACATTCACCTGATTGATCTTGCCTCCCTTGCTCTGTTTAGGGTGCTGTAACTCCTGGATCTCTATCCCTGAGGCATGGGTCACCCTTCTAAGTACCTAAGCCTTAGTGTGGGCATCATCAGCTGGGCCAAAATTCTCACACAATTGTCCTATTATTCATGACTATATGACAGACTGTAGAACTTTGATCTAAACCCATAATTTTCCCATAACTGTTGAAACTTTAGCTATAAATTTTGAATTAACCTCCATGATATTGAAGATTTGCAAGATTTTCCACAAATCTTAAGACTATTAATTTGGAATTATTAAATTTTGTGAAAAACTATATTACAAAGTTTCTTTCTCCTATTGTTATTCATACATGACATTATATGTGTCTTTAATTCAAGGTGAAGAAAAGGCTTTGTACAAATACTGTAAATAGTAACAGTTTAATTAACTGAAGGCAATCAATTGAAAATTCTGCAAAAAATCCATTAACATTCTAAATTATCTTACATTACAGACAGCCAACAGTTTACTTTGGGCTATCTTCAATCTCTCTCGCAATCCCAAGGCACAAGAAGAGCTTCACAAAGAAATATTGTCCGTGCTGTGTAAAGACCAGGTCCCAACTGCAGAAGATATTAAGAAAATGCCTTACCTAAAGGCTTGTCTAAAGGAATCTATGAGGTTTGTTGACCAGATGACTGTTCATTATACCTACACAAAATGGATTGCAGTGGTTCAAAATAAGAGCTAATCATCACCCTTCTCAAGAGCAAATAGGGATGGGCAATAAATATTGGCCCAGCCTGAGACACGCACATTCCATGAGAAAATTTAAAAAAAAAGATTTTGACGTTTGTATTTAATAGTTCTGAGCTTAATATTGTCATTTCCAATCCTGCATTTTTTTGTTTGCTTATATCATGCATCTAATCCCAGTCAAAAATAAGTAACTCTTCATATTTAGAATGATATTTACAATACAGCTTTCTTCAATCTGACAAACACTCAATTCTTTTGTTATACAGTTTGGCCAAGATTGGGAAGTATACAAAATTCTGAAAGCAAACAATTCTATTATCATCCAATCATTCTTTAGCATGCACTGTAAATCACATTGCTGGATTACAGTGGAACTAACAAACTTACAGTTTATTACTTCAGTGTCTTTTTAAGAATGAGACATGAGTTGTTAATTTTTTACTGATAAATTGTCCAGAACTGAAATACTGATATGTTGCTATTATATCTGCCCTATTGTAATCAGTTATGTTTATTTTCTTCAGAACTATTAAGTATGTAATATCTTTATCACACGTCACTATTGCACATATCTTTCCATCCTATATAACTAAAGTGATCATTCCAATTAACTTGGTGTGTGCTTTTTAAATGAACAAAGGTGTTTATAGAGAAGTTTGCAATCTTGTTAAGTATTCTGCAATAACAAAATACCTCATTAAAGTAATCATTAATATCAAATACCTGTTTAGGATTACACCTTCTGTGCCCTTCACGAGTCGCACCCTGGACGAAGAAACTGTTCTTGGTGACTATTTGCTACCTAAGGGAGTAAGTATCACGTGACATTTCAGATACAAACTGAAAGTATAACAAAGGTCCATTTTGTTGTTATGTGATCAACATCTTAAATTATTCATCATCCCATAGTTTGAAGGACTTTTCATATTATGGTACTAGGCAAAAGACAGCATCTATTTCATCCCAAAAACATTCAGATAATGAATTACATTTGAAGCTGAATGGCTGTTATTTAGACATAACAAAGTGTCTATTTTGAACAGACTAGAACGATATAATTACCAGGAAATTGTTTTTAATATTGCTGGGTTAAGGCATATGTTTTTCAAGGACACCAGAAGATCGTTCTTCTCTTCTTTGAACAGCATTAAGAGATCTTTAACGTTCACCTGAACCAGAAGAAGCTGAGGAGTACTCATTTTATTATCTTATCCAAACAACACTCTAAAATGCCTGGGAAAATGGGGCCAATCAATAGGAATGATTCAAACCAAAAATCTCTCATCAACCACGCCTATAGTCACAGGCACCTATCAGCAGCAAATGTGAGAGGGAACCAGTCTGTGGTTCGAGCAACATGGAGAAGGTGAATGGCAGCAGTGAAAGAGGGTATAGAGGCAAAGAAAGTCAGCTCAGAAGCCACAGAAGGTGGTGAGGCTGCCGGGTTCGAGGAGAAGGAGACCTCTGAGTTGAGGGTGTAAGACACTGAGACTGTGGGCATGTAGGGCTGGGGATGGGAGTGGTGAATGGATGGCAAGTGAGGCTGCAAAGAGAAGCTGCAAACATTAGGAAGGGGGACTTCAAAAGGTTGCAATGAGAAATGGCTGTAATCAGGAGAGAGCACATTTACGTTTTTCAGCATTTGGAAGGTTCAGCTAACTGGGAACCAGGAAAACCTGAGGTCACTGAGGTAATCGATTCCTTGCAAATGAATATGGAGAGTATACATTAAGGCTGCAGAAACTCATGAACTATTCTGTAGGGGAATACGTAATGGATGCTATCGTAATGAACACTATGACTTTGATAATTTAATATTGAACAGTTTTATTTCTTAAAGATTAGCATTTATATATGATCACATCTCAAAGCATTTCACATACTGTGAATTACTTGAGATGCAATGACAGTGTCAAAGATAAACATGCAACAATTTAGTTATTACCTCACCACTTTTTGGGAAGCACGTTAAGGTTGATGGCTTTTAGGGCACAGAAGAATGTGTCAGTTATTTTCTAAAAAAAACATTTTTTGCCAATATGCCTGTTATGTTATACCAATTTAAACATTTTGATACCTAGGAAATTAATGCTTTCCTTGTGTGTTGTTGCTTTATGTTTAATGAGGATAATGCCAGATCTGGACAACATCCAGCTTTATGCTGATAAATGGCAAGATATTATGCCATACAAATACCAGGCAATGACTAACTCCAACAAGAGAGAAATCTAACTACCATCTCACGAGCTTTCTATCACAGAATATTCCACTGTCAATATCCTGGGGGTTAGCATTGACCAAAACCTGAACTGGACTGGCCATATGAGTACAGTGGCTCCAAGAAGAAGTCAGAGCCTAGGAATTATGCAGTAAATGACTTACCTTCTTTGTCCCAAAAACATGTGTGCCATCTACAAAGCAGCAGTCAAGAGTGTGATGGAATTCTTTCCAAACCTGTTTGGAAGGGTGCAGCTCCAACAATACTCAGAAGCTCAACACCACTTGATTTAGACACCATCCACCACCTTCGACAATCACTCCTTCCACTTTTGACACACAATTGCAGCAGTGTGTGTCATTTGCAGATGCACTGCACTAAGTCACTAATGCTCCTTCATCAACAAACCTGTGACCTCTGCCACCTAGAAGGACAATGGCAGCAGATGCATGGGAACATTGCCACCTAGAAGGACCAACCCCAGGCCATGTGTCATTCTGAGCTGGAATTATATCACTGTTCATTCATTGCCACTGGATAAAAATCCTGAGGCTCCTTTCCAACAGTACCGTGGAGGTTCCTACACCCCAAGGATGGCAGAGATTCAAGAAGGCAGCTCACCACAACCTCCTCCATGCCAATAAATGCTAACCTAGCCAGTGACAACCACAATCCATAAATAAATAAAAATGCAAGCTTGACTATTGAGAATACAGATGAATTCTTCCAAACCTGCTTCTGTGGAGTCAAATACCCCAAATGTCAGCACAGGTATAGAATGTATTATTACTGCATGAATTCATCATCTAAAAAAAGGCTTTAATGACAATGAGAAAGGAGCCCTGAAAATTCAGAAAGAATGATTATAAAAAAGAACTCCTCTAAAAATCTCAAGAGGAGCCCTCGAGAAAGAATACATGTATTTTGACCCCTGCATTCAACAAATGAGTATCTCAAACAAAATTTCAGTAGCACAGTGAGATTTCACACCAGATTATACGTTCAAATAAACTTCCTACAATTGATTTTGAGTGGTGCCAAGTGGGCTGGGTTGTCACTTGACAATTATTTGGTTGAAGTACTATTTCAAGAGACTACCTACGTCAATCATGATTTATGTAGCTGGGCAGTAGCTTCTGCTAAATCATCAAACTGTTGCCAAATTGTTGCTATGCTTTTATTTATAGTGCTTTAAGATCAAAATCATGTTTAATATGTAACTCTGTCTTAAGCAGACAAATAGAAATAAACTGAAAGAATTAGATAGTGAAAGATAAACAGAAAACAATTGCACATAGGGAAATAGGCCACAATCTTTCTTTTTATTTGCTGGATAGTAGCTAGCTATTCGTAAAAATGTAAGAGCAATTAATTGTTCATATCCTGGAAGTGTAAGTCTTGAGTTTGAGTGGGTTAAATAAATGCATTTTCAGAATGTTCGCACTTCTGTAAAAAAAAGATGTGGCTTCATTTTTTTTTCTGCAGACCATTTTAATGATAAACAGTCATGCATTGGGGTGCAATGAAGAATATTTTGATGATGGAATGCAGTTTAAACCTGAACGATGGCTACAGGAAAGGCATACAATCAATCCATTTGCACATGTGCCATTTGGTGTTGGGAAAAGGATGTGTATAGGTCGGCGGCTGGCTGAGCTACAGTTGCAGTTGGCCCTCTGTTGGGTAAGTCTTGTGTGCTGGGCATCACCATTGTTCTGCTAATCACGTTCAAGTGCATCAATCAACCAGAGTCACAGATTTTTCTAACCAAGGTTTTGTTATCTTTATTGCAGTTGGTGCCAAGGTACAAAATATTGGCAACTGATGAAGATCCTGTGGAAACATTGCATTCTGGGACACTGGTGCCTAATCGTGAAATCCCAGTAGCGTTCCACAGACGTTGAGGTACATTTACAGTTGTTATCAAATCATTGTTTTGAAATAGCGTATAAGTGACCCTGTTGCTTTGGTTTTCCCCTCTTCCTGCCCTTCAGTATTGTGTGCTGATGCTACAGCTGAAAATTGACTGTTGGATTACATTCAAATGATACATATTGGTTTATTCCTAATATTTTTCAAGATTCTCTGCCCAGTGCTGTCAAATGATATCACAAGATCACTGCAAATCATTTTTAAATTCCTTTTTTGGCAAAGGAAACCAGTCACTCGCCTCCTTCTTTAATTTTGCTTCTTTGATTAAGCTTTCAGTCACGTCTCATAATATTCTTTTTTGTGACTGCCTGTGTGATAACATTCCTACAAAGAACTTTAGGATGCTTTATCTTCATTTAAAATGTTATATGAATCATTGTTGTTAAAGAAACTGCCTGATCCTCGTCTTTGTTGTGATGAGCTATGATTCCATTGCCCAGAGGAACAGTTTTCAGATTCAAATGCTTTGGTCCCTTTTCTATGGCCAAAGGCGTACTAGAACGTATGGGCTTTGGACACCAATGTCAGGAGCAATTCTGGGTGAAGGATGTGTGTGGACTTCTAAGACTAAGACTTAAGACTAGCTGAGCAACTTTCCTACAAGAGGCCTTTGTACCTGGTTGCCTCTGAACTCGTCATCTGATTAAGGACAATGGGTAGGATGTTGATGCTGCTGGCTTTATCAGAAAACTGATTGCTCTGGAGCCGTGTTGGTAGTTGGACCGAGATGGGTGGGGAGGGCTGAAACTGGTTGTGATTGAGAGAGCAATTTAAGGAGCCATTCATACAGGACTCTCCAGATGTCCATTTGAAGTTATGTGTGTGGCCTTCCCCACCCACTAGGCTCTGTTTAGCAGATGGAGGGGTCTGTTCCTATGGCCCCTGGGACATCCACAGAAAGACCTTTCCCAGGAAGCTGGAACTTTCCCAAACTGACTGGGCATGGTGGGGGTCTCCACTGCTGGCAAAATGTGGACAACCTGAAAAAGTCACCCTTAACAGAACCTTCAATTATTTAAATTGGCTGCATTTCTCTGTGTTGGGTCACACAGTTGGAAATTTCTTTGAATGTGGAACTGCATCTGGGAGACATTACCACTTGACCAGGAAAATCCTGATATTCTCATCTACCTTCTGCAATGTGCACGTCCACCTGCACAATGTTACTGCCCAGGTGGCAGAATAGAAATTGACTTCTGTAGTGCGAAGCAGAGAAAAACTAACATGCTAGCATTCCAAGGAATATTGTGGGCTGGCAAATAAACTCAATGCAGCTCATACTTGTTATTAAAAGCGTAAAGGTCTATTGTTAAATAACTTGTGTTGGTCAGACTGTCTGCTAATAGAAAAACAGTGAGTTCCAAGGGTTCTGTGATTTTAGTTATAATCCAAAATTGGAAGCAATTGTCACAAAACAGCTTTGACGTGGCAGGTTTTACATCCTGCCTTTTGAAATGTAGAGCTTGTTGAGACAAGGGGAATGGAGCAAAAGGTAAATGGGTTGTAAAAAAGAACATAATGGCTTAAGTCTAACAAATAAATGTAATTGGAAAGTGCCAATTATTTATGTTTGGAAAACTGGTTTTACATTCATTTCTTTATTTGTTATGTATAGTTGTTGCATCAGACAATATTTTTCTTTTCAGGAGCACTGTGATTCTTCGAGAGCACAGCCCAACCTACACTCTTGTTAAGCTCAGCATTTTATAATCAGTGAAAAAAGGCATTGCAAGGCCAGAAGAATGTTATGGGAATGGAAGGATTACAACACATTCACTGACCTACAAAGGTTTACAACATTTTCAATCTAAGGCTGCTCTGATAAGAATTGAGTAATGCAGCAAGTTACACTGTTAGACGTTTTTGCTTGGCAGTAGCCCTTGCTGGTGAAGTAAAAACTCTAATATCCAACATTTGATGCTTAATATACCGTCTAAAGTTAAGACATAAATTATGGTTGGTCTTAATGCTACCTTCTCAAAAGATGTAAGCAACCAGAAGGAACTCTGATATTCTGAAAATGTCTGACTGTTCCAATTTAACTCTTACATGTAACTAAAGTGAGAAACATTTGTATGTCCAGAAACTAGGCATTTGTTTGGATACTACTGACAGCTAAAGGCAAACAACTATCCACTATGAGCATTGCCAACAAAAACAAAGTTGCTGGAAAAGCTCAGCAGGTCTGGCAGCATCTGTGGATAAAAAGCAGGGTCAGTGTTTCAGCTCCAGTTCTGAAGAAAGGTCACTGGACCTGAAACATTGACTCTGCTTTCCCTCCCACAGATGCTGCCAGCCCTGCTGAGTTCTTCCAGCTATTTCTGTTTTTGACTCAGATTTTCAGCAACTGTGGTGCTTTATTTTTGTTTCTCAAGAATTTCGGTTTTTATGAACATTGCCAAAGTTGGTGAACAGAAGCTGAGATTCTAAACATGGAAGAAATTCTAAGGAAACAAAAATAAAGCAACACAGATGCTGAAAATCTGAATCAAAACAGAAATAGCTGGAAAAACTCAGCAGGTCTGGCAGCATCTGTGGGAGGGAAAGCAGAGTCAACGTTTCAGGTCCAGTGACCTTTCTTCAGAACTGGAGCTGAAACACTGACCCTGCTTTTTATTACAGATGCTGCTGGGCCTGCTGAGCTTTTCCAGCAATTATGGTTTTTGCTCTTGGGAGCTTTTCCGGATTAACTGGCAGACAGTCACAATGTACATAATCACAAACATGTAAGTGGTGTAGAAATTAGTTTTTGATCGTGTAAAATGGGATGTATCATATTGGCTGCCTGCTATATACTCTGCCCAATACCCAGTTACAATGCAGTCAATGGGCAAAAATTTAAGATGCAGCAATGGGCCCCCCTGTTTGCTGGAGAGTTGGCAGCAACCTCACTGCAACCATTATGGGAGAATCATGAGGATTAAATTCTCCACAGGCTCTTCTGGCTCCAGTAAGGGCAAATTCCATCAGATTTCTGGTGAGGAGTGAATGTCTGAGATCAGCTAATAGCTCTCCAGTCTTGGCTGTGCCAATGGAAGGCATGGCCACTTCCAGCACTGCAGTGGGAAGTCCTACCAGAATCATTGCTGGGACCTTCCAACTAATGTAAATGGGTCATATTGCTTGAGGATGGTCTAGTGAGGGGAAATACAGAAAGCCCATTGTCAAGGACAGCACAGTGACTTTCCAAGGGTCCTGGCATTTCTGCCAGCAGGTCCATCTGTTGCGTTCAAGATGCCTAAGAAAGAAGGATTTCCCATGAGGCAACAAGCATACCCAGAAAGGTTTATGTCACAATTTGTCCACATGGCCAGGTGCTGGATTCTACCAAAGGCAGTGAGATATGGAACTTAACCAGCTCTCAGGTGGTCCCTTGAGTCTCAATTGGTTTCTGGTAGGAAGACCATCCTTGACCTTTCCTACCCTGAATTTAATCAAGGAGAATTAGGAACGTGGAACCTTCATCTTATATTTCCCTGCCACATGATATAGCCATTCATTGCTTTACACCTGATCTCCAGGGAGTATTAAATCCCACCCAACTGAATTAAAAACCAAGTGGGAAATACAATGGCACCTTATACAGTACCCTATTATCTCTGTTGCACTAAATTAAACAATATTTTTAAGGTAAGAACCTTATTAGACAATGGTATAATTGAAAATATTATTACTCAGTCAGTTACTTTGCATGGGAATGCAACTTATCAAAGTTTATAATGATGCTTTAGTCTCTCTAGTGGTAAAAAATATCCGTTACAGAACTATTAGCCTGTTATGGGACAAATATAACAATGCACTTTTCAATAGAGTTTGTTTTACTTAGAGAAAATCTAACAAGTTAGAAACTCAGGGTCTTTGCTATTATTAGGCAATTTTGCACAACTGAAGAGATTTCTGTGTGTTGATTTGTAAACGTCTTTCAATTTTCTATTAAAAGTTAGTAAGAAGCATTTAATGAATATGTTTTCTTTTGAATTCAGCTGCTTTTTGCCAAATGTTTCAAATATGACTAATGTTAAAGCAATATTATAATGCCATGACCTATATTGATAATGAATTTATTTATTGGGTGAATTGAAATCACTGGTTGAATTTTTCAAGACTCAACAGCAGCACTTTTTAAAAATGACTCTGGCCATCTTAGAAGGAGATTTTTAACATTTTTACAATTGAAGTTTATAATTTCCTAAGCCATTAAAATGTAGCCAGGCTCTCCAGAAGAACCCATCGGAGACAATCACCTTCGAGGAATGTGAAAAGCAAACTCCTGATCCTTCAGGAATCACCCAGACAACGGAATGGGGAACAAGCCATTAGATACAATTACTTTGAACAATAGACCCCAGCTGGAAATTCACTAACCATAATCTAATTGTGTCTATACTGTGGAATCAACTTGCAAACACAATGTTTGTATAATTGGTCAATGCTGTAATGCCATGTACCTGTCTTAAAGATTGAGGCGTGTTTGCTCTGGAATTTATAGCCTATATAACAGTACCCCAAAATCCCCCCTTCATCCCAATCATTTAAGGAATGGGATCTCTTTTAACATATAAAAGGATGCATGACAGGATTAGATCTAGTCCTTACACAGTTATCATTACTTGGTGATGTAGGTTCACTCTGCAATGTGTTGTCATTGCAGATGGAGGTGCGCCATATATTTTAGATGTGTAATTGCTGTCTGGTGTTATGTCTTCACATCATCCTGTGTGATGATTGGTTGATAATATGCAGTCCAAATATGTCATCTATGACTTTGCTGCACCATTTCTTATTGCAATGTCATATGACCTGGGTTGGACACACCTATGCAATGTATTCCCACACACCCATGTATTCATGCAAAAATCTCAAAATCTTATATAAAGGACGAAGCAAGCTGGGATAATTGTCTGCATGTTCATTGATAATTCTCTTATAAGATTTTCTTCCTTCTTTCTCGTAACATGCCATGTATATGAGAGTGGGTGGTGAGAGTGTAGAAGGGAGAGACTGTGTAGAACTGTTTTGCAAACATGAGTGCTGTCAGTGAGCCTACTGTTGCCTACAGGAGTAGTACATAGATTTAACATCGCTATCTGAGAATCTTGGCAAATCGCTTTACATTTACTGATTGTGGATTTCACAATGCAGACAGCGGGTTCTATGAGACCATTCAAATGAAGTTAGCGAGGAGAAGAGCGAACATGTTGAACACTGAAAGTCTTGCAAAGGTGCACTAGTGTAACATGGACCATTGTTAGACATACTGAATTTTTTGAGGTACACTTAATGAACTCACTGAATATGTGGATAATGTCATATTTTGTTTTGTCACACAAAAGGGAATTTGGTCAAATAGTCAGTCACCAGAAACATATTTGTGAATTATCAGTCACAACCTTAATAGAAAGAGTGCACTCATGATCAAGATCCTCTATTAAGTGAATTGACACACGTGTATAAATGACCAGCCTAATCACTAAGGAGGTTCATTTGCCTGAATTTAACCAATATCTGAGATAAAAGAAACTAACATACGGTTCTTATAAACAAACATATCAGACTTAAACTACACCTTCTGAACATCCAAATACACACACACACACACACACACACACAAGACATCACGAATATTAAACAGAAAAGAATGCAAACCACACAAATAAAGTGTTTTTTTTTCACTGTTCGTTTACATTTTTGGTGATGATATCACATTGTTGTTGACCACAGAAGATCTTCAATCTGGTACCTGGGCAGTTGAATCTAAGATTTGGCTTGAATTAGAAATTCCTCTTTCCAGAGGTTTTCTGGACATTTGAGTGAAACTGCCCTCTTTCCATGCTGTAATAAATGCTAATTAACTATCCAAAAGCTATTGCCAGGCATCTTTTCAACTCAAAGACACCTGATGCCAGCTTATCTCATAAAGGTAGCAAATCTAACTTCTCCAAGATTTATATTGCCTACCTCCATGTAAGGTTCTGGTCCCGGATGTGTCTGGTTGGTGGAGACTCAGTGACACTGCTATGTGGTGACAAATCACATTCCCCAGTGTATATTCAATAGAGGCTATTTCTGCTCCCTCCTGCAGATGCCCTGTGAAACTGCTAAGGATGATCTTCCTACAGGTGCACCATGTATTATCTAAATTGTGAGATGTTTTCAGGATAGTTCTGGATCCCTGTGTCCAATGGGAACTCAATGGGGTGGATTCCTACTTCACCTGTTACCAGGGTCAACCTACACTATTTCACTTGGGGCTCCATACCCACTGTCGAGAGTCTGGGCACTTTCATGCTTTGGAGTGTGTCGCCTCCCCCAGTAAATTTACCGTGGCTAACTTCACTTGTCCCTCTAGCAGCAAGGGTTGGGGCCTCTGTTCTTGTTCCTGTGGTGGTGCTTACTAACAGGATGCCCAACAATTTCAAACATAGTGGCTTGTCACCCACAATTATAGCATTCTTGTTTGCTATTGCCTAGGACTTCCCTGCTGTGGGACTCTACCTCTCACTGTGGGAGGGGTATGTGGGGACGGATAACTTCTGGAGTAGCCTCTCCTATTTCTGTCACTCCCTTCATTCCGTCACACAGGACCTGGGTGTTGGCCTACTGGTTTGGAGTATGGAGGGTTTGATGCTTCATTTCCCACATTCACCTGATTGATCTTGCCTCCCTTGCTCTGTTTAGGGTGCTGTAACTCCTGGATCTCTATCTCTGAGGCATGGGTCACCCTTCTAAGTACTTAAGCCTTAGTGTGGGCATCATCAGCTGGGCCAAAATTCTCACACAATTTTCAGTGGTATGTGAAACAAGAGTTCAGGTCCAGCTGGCCCGTTGCGGGGGTGTTAGCACGGCTCTATCCCTGTCGACAAAGTCTCCTGTAAACTGTGCCCATTGGCACCTGGCAAATGCAGTTGGGTGGTCTCCTTTCCTCTTTCCTGCATTTGTTCAATCATGCCATAGTGTTCCATCTATTGTAACCTACCACAATCAGGATTGCCTCTTTCATACCCACCAAAGTGCCTCCCCCTACATTCTGGGGACTGGATAGCATGGAATGGACAGCTGTACTCAGATGTTGTGAAATTAATTTCACTGCTTCAGTATCGTCCAGTCCAGGGAGGGCCCTTTGGTGATGCGTGTGATCAAAGAATGTCT